TTTGCTTATGGATTATCTGACACCTTCACTCCTAATCCAGGTCCTGCTTTCCCCCGAATGGAAGAAGCTCCCTGGGGACAGGAACCTTGTCTATCTGACTCCACACTGTATCTTCAGCCCATGGAACACTGCCTGGCACTCCATACCATTTGCCGGATGGATAAATGGGGCTGGGAAGCAGATTACAGTCATTTTCTGTTTTTATTTTTATCTTTCAGATGAATGTGACTTTTTCTATAAACTGCATGTACTACTTGGGTAATAAGAAAAAAGAAAATAATGCCAAAACAAAATGAAATTTAAATTATAAAATTAGCATATTTAACAAAACAGATGAAAGCAACACAAAACCTTTCCCAAAAACCTATTACATAGATTGCCAGTAATTCATATCCACTCTGTTTATTAAACCTGAAGCATTAGCCAATTTAATGATCTGCTTGTAAATCAGGACACAACCATGGACTTTTAAATAACAGTTCTCTCTCTTGGGCTCATAGTAAGATGGCTGTTTGAACTTTCCATTTTATTCCAATCTCCTTCACCCAGTGCATTTATTTTTTACCTTTCTGCTCTTGCCGACGCTGTGACCTCTCGTGGAATGTCCTCCCCCAACTTCTCGTGCCCAAAATCTTGATAATCCTTTAAGGCACATTTAAATCTATCAAGAAATGGCCACAACCAACCAACTGTGCTTCTAAAAAGCTCTGTGCTTTGTCAAAAGGCATCCTGTCTTTGTATCTCCCCCAATCAATTACAGTAGGTTGAAAGCAATATTTTTATATATATAACTACACTGAAATGTCACTATACATTTTCCAACTGAGTAAAAAAAAAAAAAAAAAAAAATTCACTGCTAGTGGGAAAATTCAGTCAAAGGTGGATGGGAGCAATTGCTTAGAATCTTTCTCAAATGAGAAAATACCAAGTGGTTTTCAAGGGTTCAAAAGCCATTTTCCACACATTCCCGTGAGGAGGAAGATGGCATATACACAATCATTACCTGGGTTTTACAAAAAAATGAATGCAAGGAAAACTGACTAGCAAGCTTGGAATAATCTTTTCCAATGTTATTGGGCACCACCCACTTTATGTCAACCAGTCAGCACTGATTGAGTGCTTACAGTGTGCTAGGCACTGTGCTAAATGCACTATATACATTACTAGAAGCCCAATGCAGGAAATTCGTGCAAGAATAGCCCTCCCCTCTTTCCCCCCGCTGCTGGCACCAGTTTCCCTCATAGCCCCAGCTTAATCTGGAAGGACATCCGGAAGGATGTCTGGCCTAATTAGCATATTATGCTTTTATTATTATAGATCTTATTTATTCCTCCCAATAGCCCTAAGTGATCATTATTATTAGTATCCCATTAGAAGGGGTCATTGAGAGGTCACTGCCTATAGACCCTTAAGCTGGATAGAGGCTCCTCATGCCCTCCTTTATCCTTGGACTGTGTACTCTGCTCATTATTCCCATAGTGGAAGCTATTCCAAGGATGCGGCCTTGAAAGAGTAAGATTTTGTTGCGACCACTTGGACAACATATGTGACTGAACCCTATTACGGCTTCTATATAAACTTTAAGATTCTAGTATGGGGTACAAAGATCTACTAGTCTTGTGGCAATCAAGACTTAATTATCCCTGGCACCTACCAATCTGGAGTGGTCTGCTTTTGGCTTCAGCCTCTCCTTGCCCTCATATGCTGGGGCCAGTTTCAGATTTCACCCAAAAAGCTCCCAAGGTTTCGAACCAACATATTTCCATTTTACAGAGGAAGTAACTGATTCACAGAGAGGTTCAGCAATTTTCCCAGGAGGTCAAGGCAACGAAGTGTTAGAGCTGATTTCAAAACACCATTCTTTGCCACTCTAACATACATTTTTTTTTTCTGTTCTAAAAACTGTAGTTAACATTAAAGATAGCAGTTAAATAACCTCAACTAAAAAATACCAGTTCTAGACTATTTTCACCCTTTTCAATTACTTTTAAGTAACACAAACTCAGTGTTCAACATAAAATAATTAAATATGGGTAGAAGTTAAATTGAGCCTGTCTTCTTTTTAATGGGCCTCTCTTTTTCTCCAGCATTTCATGCATTGCAATGTTGATTTGACAATTGTTATGCCAGGAAGTCAATAGTACTAATTTTCACACTTCATTAATAAATAAATGGAGGCCTCAGAAGTTATGGGATGGATCCATAGATCCCCTGGGAATTGAGAGGGAATTCCAATAAAGCCACTTTAATCAAACAGTGCCAAGCTGTAGACAAGGGTTTAGAGATCAAAACATGCTCAAGGTAATAATCCCAGACTTAAAACTTAAAAGTGGGACTCTAGGTCAGAGCTTTAAGAAGATTTCAAGTTTGAAGAGACAAAAAGAAAAAAAGCAGATTTGGGGATCCATGCAAAAGTAGATCAGACACTATTGTCTTGCATTTGAATAGAAAAGGAGACTCAGAGTCTTCCATGGTTTGCAACCGAGAAAATAAGAAAGCCTTTCTGCCAGGCTTTTTAACAGTTGGCAGCCTAAGACATGGAAGTACAAAAATGTCAGGAACTCAAATGCTATACATTGGATATTCACAGCAATTTTTGTATGTGCTTGAAATTTTTCCTAATATAATGGTGAGACTATAAAAGAGGGGTTTATTAGGAAACTATTAGGAAACTGACCAGCATTGGAGTTTTGGCCCAGGGTACTGCTTTATGTAATTCCTTGCAAAAGGATAAAAGCAGGTTCCTTCTACAGATGAAGTAATAGAATAATTGAAGCAGCCAATATGTACTGAGCACTTACCTTGAGCTCTGCATACATTATCTTATTGAATAGTCACAATTAAGCTCTAAGGTAGGTTAACTTATCATCTCCATTTCAAAGAATGGAGGCAGAGGGAGGCTTAGAAACGTGCCAAAATATCACATAGCCAGCAAGGGACAGAACCAACATTCAAACCAGGGCTTATTTAAAGGTAGCTCCTATTCTGCACATTCTTTTTTATTACTTTTTTTAAAAATATATTTTATTGATTTTGTACAGAGAGGAAGGGAGAGAGATAGAGTTAGAAACATCGATGAGAGAGAGTCATCGATCAGCTGCCTCTTGCACACCCCCTACTGGGGATGTGCCCGCAACCAAGGTACATGCCCTTGACCGGTATCGAACCCAGGACCTTTCAGTCCCCAAGCCGACGCTCTATCCATTGAGCCAAACCGGTTTCGGCTTATTACTATTATTGATTTCAGAGAGGAGGGAGAGGGAGAGATAGAAACATCAGTGATGAGAATCTTGTCATGTGCCTTGACTGGGAATCGAACTGGTTCATAGGTGAATGCTCAATCACTGAGCCACACCAGCCAGGCTGCACATTCTTTCAAGGAAACTGTGAACTCCAGAGACCAACAGGACTGCCATGTATTTATAACATGACTTGAATGTGTTTGGGACTCTCAACAGATTGAGAAAGCTTCCTGAAAACATGAAAGTACTAAATCTTCATGTTAAAAGCAGAAGGGGGCCACGGGGTCCAAACTGGGGTTCAAATCCTGGCTCTGCTACTTAAGTCACACCACCTAGCGAGCTGTAGTTTGTCCATCTAAATAAGGGAGTCCCCTTGGGAGGATGCTGTGGAGATAGACTGAGATGGTGCGTTTGAAGTTCTTACACAGGAGCATGGCAATCTACCAGTGAAAGACACCACTGTGGGTATTATTTCAAACTTGTAGGAAGCAGAGACCCTCAGCCCTGCTGTCATGCCTAAATACCAAAGCCAAAGGCGTTTGAAAGAATAAAACCGGGGGAACGACCAGTATGTTAAAAGGAGGGTAGGAGCACTATGCTTTCCAGGTGCAAAACTAAGGCAATTGATTGTTATTTCAACTTGAACCCGTGAGAACCAGAATCCAACTGAGCCATTTAGGAAGGTTTTCTGAATTTGCCATTATAGGCATGAAGAAAGCACAAACACACACACACACACACACACACACACACACACACACACACACACACGGGCTATCAGGTGAAGGCAGGACAAGAACACATTCACAATAGTTTGGTCCAGCATAGCTCTGAGATTGGCGCCGCCGAGCAGGGTCCCTCACTGGGAAGGCAGGAAGCTGAGGGTTCTTGAGCAGGAGGAGAGGGCCTTCCCTCGCCCAGCAGGAGGCGCGGTCTAGAGCCAGCAATGCTAGGGCAGGGGCACTAAGAAAGCGCCCTGGGTTTGCAGGGAGGGCTGGTGACCCCGGGGTCCCTGCGGCCGCCTCTATACTCTGAGGGCAGGAGTTTCACTCAACTATTGCGTCCTATTAATGAAAAGCAAACATCCTTGTTTTGTTTGGAAATGTTGTGGACCCCTCCATATCGTGGAGAGACCGAGCAAACACAGGAAGTCGGTCTCTGAGCTACCTTCTAGGATTGTACCCAAAGCAAAGACTCTGAGTGGAGGAAGAAAAGAGAGCGTGTGCCCAGGGTTCGCCTTCCTCTAGCCCCTTTCTTCCCACCCGCAGCCCGGGAGAAGGCGGGGAAGGGACGCTGGGCATTTCGGGGGAGAAAGGCACAGCGGGAACCCAGAGGACACTCCCCCCTCTATGGGGATCGGGGCGCTTTCCAGGAGGGTCCACCGGCCCCGGCGTCCTAGCGCATCCCGGGCGGGCGGAGAACGGACTCTCCACGCTCCGCGGTGAGAAAGAAAGACCCTACTTTCTAGGACTAGCTGAGAGCTTACAGATCCAGGACTCCCGAGTCCACCCGAGGCTCCCCGCGAGCTGCCTGGCTATGATTCCTCCAGCCTCCAGGTGCAGCCCAGCCCGGAGAGTCCCCTTTTGTTCCTGGGAAAGCGCGGAGCGGAGCGGAGCGGCGCATCCCTCCCCGCGCGAGAGCCCGGCTGCGGGGGCGCCTCCCCCGGTCCGCTCCCTGCGGGGCCCCCGCGTCCGAGACCACCGGCCGCAGGGTCTATATAGACCCCCAGAGGCACCCTCCTTCCTCGGAAGTACTCACTTCTCCCCAGTCCCTCCGCTCTCCACGCCGTCTCCTCCACCGCTCCATAGCGCCTCAGAGGCTTCTCGGCTTCCAGATGGGTAGATAGAGATTGCTTCAGTTCCATCGCTCGTCCCTGTGGGTGGCAGGTCGATGGGTCGGTCTCCCCTCACTCCATCCCTGCCGCGGGCTGCTGGGAGGGAGGCGGCTCCAGCCAGCAGCGTTTTTAAGGGGCCGGGCGCTCGTGACGCTGATCCATCGCTTCCGCCCGCGAGGGCCTGGGAGCGCCGACTGGTACCCAGGAGGGGAAGGGAAAGGGATGCAGGGCGCATGCGCAGTGGAGGCCTTGGGGGCTGGGTAGAGAGAACAGGGGGAGATGATAACTCTAAGGAGGACAACAAAAACAACTAAAATAGAACCGACCCAGAACAAGGCCCCTGCCCCATAACTGGATCCCATGGAGATGTTTTTGCATGGGGCTGGCACTGCATGAGAGGAGCTTCTGAGATGTCAGAGGGAAGCAAGGTTTTGAGTGGGATTTGGGACCGCCGTCTCCATCTGTGGGCGATGGATCCATCTTTGTGGGGAGTGTGCAGGAGCTGATTGTGGACCTGGGTCTGTGCTTGGCTGAGTGCTTTCTGTGTGTGTGTGTGTGTGTGTGTGTGTGTGAGAGAGAGAGAGAGAGAGAGAGAGAGAGAGAGAGAGAGAGAGAGAGAGAGAGAGAGAGAGAGAGAGAGGGAGAGAGAGAGAGAGAGAGAGAGAGAGAATATCTGTCTTTTGCATCTGCGTGTATAGTTTGAGTATGAAATGGGACAATCTCATGGGCAGGTACCTGTGTCTACTCGGTGTGTATTTGCATGAACTTGAGAGAACCATAAAAATATTTGGTAAACAAGTGTAAAAAAGGTGCTTGAAACATAGGTCATCCTGCCCAGAAACCCAGGGGTTTGTCTTACTAACAAAGCAAGGCAGCATTAAAGGTATAAGCAAAACCAGAAGCTTGATTAATAAAAATTAGTAGCATTTCCCAATAACTCTGTGAAACAGATACTATGCGGTTGGCCTTGTTTTACAAAGGATGAAACTGAGGTGTGAAAATATTAAGTTATTTGCCCAAAGTCCCACACTTTCCAAGTGGTCTGGTCAGCACTTTTGGTTGAGATCAAGTGTACACTGTAACCTCAGTCATATTAATTACTTCATAGAACAATGGTAGAAATTAAATAAAAATGCTGTGATCCCACCCTACGTGGTTTTGCCCAGTGGATAGAGCATAGGTCTGAGAACTGAAGGGTCTTGGGTTCAATTCTGGTCAAGGTCATGTACCTCAGTTGCATACTCAGCCTGATCTGGGTGCATGGGGAAGGCAACCAATCAATGTGTCTCTCTCACATCGATGTTTCTCTCTCTGTGTCTCTCTTCTTTCCTCCCACTGTCTCTAAAAATCAATGGGAAAAAATATCCTCAGATGAGGATTAACAACAACAATAAAAATGCTGTGATCCCAAACTTGTTACATGTTTACATATGCATACATATTCAAAAAAAGAAACACTGACATGACATACACCAAACTTGACAGTGACTCCTTATGAAGGTTGAGATAACAAATGTTTTATTTGAATTCTCCAACGTTCCTACAAGGTATATGTATTACTTTTATAATCAGGAAAATATAAATTATTTTTTAATGCATTGAAAATAAAAAGACGAGGGGTAAATACACAAAAATATTAACAGTGATTATTTCTAAGAATTGAGATTTGGGGGAAATTTTTTTTCTTTTTAGTCTTTTCCTTTTTTAGATTTTCCAACATCTATCCTGGGCACAGGTTGCTTTATCATTCAAACATGAATAAATGTTGTTTCGAAGAATGTGTGAGTAATACAAACCTGTAATCCTAGATGACAAAGCCTTTCCTGACACTGCAGTGCCGAGAACCCTGCTGGCTTGCGTGAGTTGAGGGTGATAATGCTTCAAGTGCAATAACTGGCTGAAGTAACAGTCTGCATGGAATTATTAAGTGGCTCTCTCAGGCCTGACTCCTCGTCCTGGCTCTGTGCCTCACTCTGCTGGGAATGCCAGCAACCCAGAGGGATGCTGGGTGATTACAAAGGGCCAGGGCAGCAGGGGCCAGTGGAAAGACATGTTTATAACTGTCATTTTCGGTTGATGGAAAGGGAAAATAACGCATTATCACCTTGGTAATTTGATACTTTATCCAGCATGTTGACAATTTCAAATGTGCGTGATACTGAGCTTGTCAGAATAGCATCGTTTAAAAAAAAAAATACAGGCTTTGAAATCTGGTGGATCTGAGTTCGGGCCCTGACTCTGCCACCTGCCTGGGATGTGACCCTGAGTAACATGTCACCATCTCTCTCAGCCTCACTTGCTTCATCTTTAAAATTCAAATAGCACTGCCTAAGCCAGAGGACTGTCATAATGATTGAGATAATGCCCCATGGCACATCAAAGGCCTCAATACAAGTCTACAAGATACTACCATTATCACTATTGCATGGTATTGGCTGATGTTTTGAGTTCTGACTTTTTGGGAATATACCCATTGAAGTCTCCAAACCAAAAACAGAAACCTATTGAAATGATTTTGAGTAGAGAAATTGGACTCATCATGCATTGCTTGTAGAAACGTATAATGATGCAGCCACTTTGGGCCCATCATGCATTGCTGATAGAAATGTACAATGGTGCCGCCACTTTGGAGGACAGTTTGGCAGATTCTCAAAAGGGTACCATAGTTACCATGTGATTCAGCAGCTCCACTCCTGAGTATATACCCAAGAAAAATTAAAAATAAATCCACACAAAAATGTGTGCATGAATGTTCATAGCAGCATTATTCACAATAGCCAAAAAGGTGGAAACAACTCAACTGTCCATTAACTGATGAATGAATGACATGTGGCAATCCTAACAATGGAATATTATTTGATAACTAGTGGCCCGGTGCATGAAATTTGTGCAAGGGGGGGTCTTCAGCCTGGCCTGCACCCTTTCCAATCTGGGACCCCTTGAAGGATGTCCTACTGCCGGTTTACAGGAATCAGGCCTAAAGTGACAGTCGGACATCCCTCTTACAATCTGGGACTGCTGGCTCCAGTCAATCACCTGCCTGCCTGCCTGCCTGATTGCCCCTAATCACTCTGCATGCTGGCCTGCTCACCCCCAACTGCCCCCCTGCTGGTCTGCTCACTCCAAACTGCCCCTCCACTGTCCTAATCACCTTCAACTAACCACCACTGATGGCCTGCTCACCCCCAACTGCCACCCCTTCTAATCTGCTTATCCCCAATGGCCCCTGTCTTCCCATCCTGGCCTGATCACACCCTGGCAAACCAAGGTCTCAGCAGTTCCTTTTTTTATTTTTTATTTTATTTTTATTTTTATTTTTATTTTTATTTTTATTTTTATTTTTATTTTTCAGCGCCTCCTTGAGTGGAGGTCAGGGCTAGCTGGAAGCAAGTATCTAGGATTTATTTATCTTCTATAATTGAAACTTTGTAGCCTTGAGCAGAGGCCAGGGCCAGCCAGGGCAGGCAGGAAGCTTGGCTTCCTCCATCGCTGGGGGCACCCCAAGTCTCCTGTTGCTCCAGCTCCGTGGCCGACCGCCATATTGGTTAGGTTAATTTGCATACTCACTCATGATTGGCTGGTGGGTGTGGCTTGGCATAGTGGGTGATGGTTAATTTGCATGTGTAGATAAAAGGGAATGTAGTATTGATACATACTACAACATGGATAATCTTGAAAACACTATAAGTGAAAGATGCCTGTCATAATAGATTACATACTGTATGATTCCATTTATATGAAATATCTAGAACTATATCTATAGAGAAAGCATATCTATTGCAAATCTATTGAGAAAGAAAGGTTAGTGGTTGGCTATGGCTGGGGATGAGGGAAAGTAGGGAGAAGGGGGCACAGCTAAAGGATACAAGGTTTCTTTGGGACATGGTAAACGGTTCTAAAATTGATTGCAATGATAGTTAAATAACTCTAGGAATATACTAAAAATCATTGAAATGTACCCATTAACAGGTGATTTTTATGGTATGTGAATTATATATCAATAAACCTGGGACCAAAAAAAATGACAATAAGTGAGGTTTAATCATTTAAATCACAATACATAACCATAAGGTTAAGGAAATGACTGGGTCAGCCTGAGCAGCAGCCAGTAGGGAATTGCAGTGGTCTGGCCACACGATACAAACCTGTCCTGTTCTTGGCTGGGATCTGACATCACCTAACAATGATTGTCCACCCAGCTTGTGTGTTTATGGGGATCACGTGAAGTCCCGGAGGCTGACTGGAATTTGCACAACTGTGACAGTGATTCCAGGAATCCCCTAGTTAGTTGCTCCATTGCACTGGCCTAATTCAGAAAAAAAAAATTTAGACTGGAAAAACACCTCCCATCCACTATCCCACCCTGCGCAGCCTTCTGTCTCCCACTGAATGTGTACTTTGTCCAGCATTTTCATGGGGTTTTCCTGAATTACTAGCCTTCTTGTAACTAGCAAATAGGCTGTTAGCAAGACTATATTTATACTTCTTTATCTGGCGGTGATCATAAAAGTTTAAATTGTACAAATACACTCATAAGAGAGAGAAAAAATTAGAAAAACCATTTCCTCTTTCCATTATGTGTCCTTTTGTGTTGTTGTGTGTTGTGTTTTATTTTCAAAAAGGAAGGAAGAAAGACAGAAACATTAATAAGAGAATCATTGGTTGGCTGCCTCCTGCACAACCCACACTGGGGATATACTCTAACTGTGAATCGAACCATGACCTCTTGGTTCATAGGTCCAGGCTCACCCACTGAACCACAACAGGATGATGTGTTCTTTGTTCTATTTTAAATCATGGAGAAAGGGAGGGAAAGTGGGTGTGAATATGCATTTATATTGTTCTAACTCTTTCTTAGCCTCACAAAATAGGCTCTTTTGCCCTGACCAGTTTAGTTCAGTGGTTAGAGTGCTGATCGCAGGTTGGATTCCCTATCAAGGGCACATACCTGGGTTTCAGGTTCAGGAGGCAACCAATCAATGTGTCTCTCTCACATCAATGTTTCTCTGTCTCTCCCCCTCCTTTCCACTCTCTCTAAAAATCAATAGAAAAGGAAATATCCTCAGGTAAGGATTAACAAAACAAAAAAATGGGCTCCTTCCCTAACATTCCCAATTTCTCAAAATAGATGGTTCTTTTTATTGATTAATTGTTTGATTGATTTCAGAGAGGGAGAGAGAGATAGAAACATCAATGATGAGAGAGAATCATTGATTGGCTGCCTCTTGCATGCCCCTACTGAGGATCAAGCTTGTGACCTGGACATGTGTCCTTAACTGGAATCGAACCTGGAATCCTTCAGCCTGCAGGTTGATGCTCTATCCACAGAGACAAACCA